AAGTGTATGCAGGCAGAAAGGCACTCAAAGTCCGTGGATCCCTTATACCAGTGCCTAGGCAAAGGAGCTGTGCCTATCCTGTGTTCCTCGCTTAGGGGAGCTGGCCATTCATTTTTTCCCGTTTGTTAATTTGTTCACTTTCTAAACAGCTAGACTGGCTCCGGGCATGTGTCGGATCCTACTTCTGGTCCAGGAGACTCGGCAATTGCTGAATCCGGTCCGGGACCCAGTGCAGAGTGGGGAGCGGGGAGGTAAATGGGAGAGAGGTTTTTCTCTATGCGGGGAGTTGTTGACAGGTGCGGTAAGCCTTACGCAAGTATTTTTCATGAAGGTCTACTTCTCACTGGTTCTGCGCAGCTGTTGTAGACTGTTTGGTGTGGGTCTCTCCTGGTGTGGAAAACTGGCCTCCCGAGCTCGGCTGTTTGCCTTCCTTGCCGCTCACCCGCAAGCCTATCAGGCCTTAAGGGCTCAAGCTCTCGCTGGTTCAGGTCTGGCAACTCCTCGCTGCTTGTGAACCATCTCTTGGTCCCTCTGCCACGCAGTCCGTTTCCTCAACTCTGCCTTCGATGTTCAGGGCTCCTGGATTGCCATATATAATTCAATCACTTGTTGTTTTGGGTTTTTGTTGTAAGCATGTCCACAGGAAGCATTTGACTACTCTGCCATCTTGGCCCTGCCCCCTCAGACCTTTTGAATTTTGAACTATGGGTATGTATTACTGTTAAAGCAAAGATAAAATTGAGAAAGATAATAGAAACATCCTTGTGGATGAAACCATCCTTGTGGTTAGGAAACAATAGCCAAGTTGCAAAGGATGCAAGCATGGGTAATGAGTAGATGAAGACAGTGAGTGTGGAAAACTAAGAAACGTTCAACGGAAGGACAGAGGATGGGAGCTAGAAAGGATGAACCAGGTCAAGGGTATTAATGAAATGAGAGCCTTTTTGTAGCGAGGGAGAAGGGAGTTTTGAAAATATGAGAGGAGGAAATATTCGTAAGAGAAAGATTTGACCAAGGGCAAAGTTTTATAATGTCTTAAGTCATTTTGAATGAAAATTTACCTACTTGCAAACTTTATTCAGAAATTTATTTAAGAGATAACAGCTCTTATTCCTTATTTCTGCCTTCCCCTCTTCTGATAGCTCCATATATGTGAGGTAGTACATTACTTCTGCTTATGGCCTAAGATTTGGAAAACACTTGGGAAAAAAATAATAAATAAGGGCTGTCTTAAAATTTAGCCACTGAAGCATTCAGGTGACAGTGAGAGGACTGTTGTTTTAGGCTTAGTAAAGAATGAGGCATAGATCCTCATACCAAATGAAGTTCTACTTTTTCATCATCTGTGACTGATTTCTGATAAGCGTACAAGGTAACACAATATTGTAGGTATTTAACTGAAGGGCCTCTTAAATATCAGAGAAAAAGTATAATAGTGTTTTGAGCCATGTACACAGTGACTTAAAAACCATGTGATATTTAACTCATCAAAGTAAAATAAGTTTCTTCTGGGGTACCTTCTTATGGGCAGTTTCCTACCTCCCCTGTCTTGACTGTTAGGTTATGTATTTGGTTGGTTGATACTTCCACATTCTAGGGCACTGGTTTTTAACTTACTTTAAGTCATAGACCCCTCAGAGAGCCTTCCTAGAAAAATCTTTATGTAGAATATACTATTTTGCATGTAATTTTAGGTGCTTCACAGTTCTCCTGATGCTCTTTCACAGACCGCTAGGTTAAGAACGCGTTTATATTAGAAGCGATTGATTCACAAGGTAGAGAAATAGCACTGTTCTGTCACGGAGGAATCCTGAGCTGTCTTTGCTGCTCTACTTTTCCTGACTGGAAGTATTAATGAGAGTGGGCACAGTCTCTCTTGTTGAGCTGGGTTGTCCTTTCTGCATTGCCATTTACTGTTCTTCCTTCTGTTTACTCACTCTGGAGTACCAGGCGAAGTCCCAGCATGGACAGCAGACAAGCCATCAGGGGTTTAGCCTGCAGAGTTTTCTGATTTAGCCAACATGTTGAAAATCCTTTTTAATTCTAATGCCTTAAGCAGGGTTGTATGCTTTCTAGTTTGCCACTCTCTTCCTATTGTGTTATACCTGGCACTCTGCTCATTTACCCCTGGCCTTTGAGGCATTTTAATCTGTGGCCATGTCCTAGAGACTGAAGGTGTCCGGGCTGGTGTGACTAAGCAGGCATTCATTTCCCCAAGGTGAACTGAGGTGCTCAGTAGGAACTTTGAGGGAAGCCATGAGGTGACCAACTCTCCCTGTTTGCCAAGATTTGGGGTTTCCTTTCATTTCTAAAACTGGGACAGTCTTGGGCCAGCCGGGATGGTTGGGTAGCTTAGCAGTCATTTTCATGAAGAGCTTACAGGGAGGCTTAATCATTGTGATCATTCCATGTGAAATCCCATGGGAAGTGAGTACCATAACTTAGGTGTGCCAACTTTTCTAAGCTAATATTAATTTGAATCTTTTAAAAATAAAAGCTTACATTATAAAGCCTCTTTAGTAAGTTAGGGTAAGTTTGTAAATGATGAGATCAATTACAGTAGGGTATTCATTACCAAAAGTTTGACAACTGCATACTTAAGTACTTAATACATCAGTTATGTGAGTGGAATTTTTCACATACTTTTTATCAATTTTATGTCCTTAGTATTTCATTTTCCTAACTGGCTAAATTGTATCTGTGAGCTAGTGTTTAATTAGGTATTATATGATATGATTACATAAACTTTTTCTTTTTAAGCTGAAGCATTGGCTTTGATTGCACAGGATGAAGAAGAATTTAACAAAGAACATCAATTTATGCAGGTTTGTAATAATTTGCGTTAACCAAAGTTTTAAAATTTCCTTTTTAATTAAAAGAAGCCAAAAAATTCATTTCTTTCTGAATAGCCATATAATATAGTTAGTATAAAATTATGTCTTAATTTGCTCATGTTTAGACAATTTCAGCTTTTTTCTTCATACTCTGAATTATTTATTGGAAAGTACTGTAGTGCTTGAAATATATTTTTAATTCTAATTAAAATCTCATTAATAGACTTCATAGGTATTTCTGTAGGTCTTAGCCATGTTTTAAAATGAGATAATCCTATTTGTTTTCAGTGAAGGTATACCCTTTTTAAAGCATTTTTATTAGTGATGATCAGTGGTTGATTCAGCAATATATAAAAACAACGCATATTATGACTCAGGTATTTCAAAACTGAATTTTTCTTCTGGACTTCATTACCTTTATTAGTTGCTTAAGTTTGAATTTTCTAATTTTTAAAATTAATTTTTAAAAACTTTAAATTTTTGGTTTTGCATATTAAAAAAAAAACAGGAAGAAAGCTTGCTGGGGGAAGAAGAAATTAACACCAACTTTCTTTCTTCCTAGGAAGAAAACATAGATGCCCAGAACACTTCGTTTGCACTAGGGGATATGTCCTGGGGAACTTCAGTTAATTTCAACCTGTTGAGGAAATCATTTAGCCCATCAGATTTGGGCAAAGATGATGCCAGTTATCTACGTCTATCGTTAGGAGAGTTCTTTGCTCAGAGATCTGAAGCTCTTGGCTGCCTTGGTGGTGGTAACAATGTGAAAAGAGTAAGTATGAAATGTGCTACAAGTGGTTAAAGTCATCAGGTTTTCTACTTTGAATGTTGTAATAGAACAGCTAGAGCATAGTGTCTTTAAAGCTGAGACAGAACAGGGGCATTGTAATGTAGTAGTTAAAAAGTTTAGGACTGACTTCAGTCCTAGCTCTGTTTTTTAACTAGTCCTATGATATTGAACTCCACTATGCCTTAATTTCCCCACTTCTAAAATGAGGTGCTATTTTACACAGTTTTAAAGAATTAAATGCAATGGTACATGTAAAGCATTTAGCACTGTGCCCAACACGTAGGAAATGTTCAGTGCCTGTTAGTTGCTATTGTTGTAATTTTTTATATCATTGGTTATTGAGAAGAGTTCTAAGATTTCTTTTACTAACTGGTTGTCTAGAAAGTTATTTTGAAATATAGGAGTAGTTTGGTTTAATAAAATGTAACACATATAAAAACAAATGCCGATGAGTCAGATAGTGATAAGTACTATGCAGAATGAGTGAGGAGCAGGAGTTGCTTTAGCTATGGTGGTCAGGGTGATATCTAAGGGTTGGACATTTGAACTGAGACCGAAATAAGGACGTAGAGGCATCACTCAAAGGTCTGGAGGAGGAGTGTTCCCAGCAGAGGGACACGGCATACATGAGGCCCAGAAATAGGAACTACATTGGCATATTGGAGGAACAGAAAACAGACAAATAGAGCTTATGTGAGTGGGAGAAAATTGGGACGAGGGAGCATGGGGTAATGTTACAAGTAGACAGGGGCCAGATCCATGAGGGGGCCCTGCAGGTGTTGCATTTTATTTAAAATGAACTGGGAAGAAGTGCTTGGAGTCAGGGATCTCCTTTGTCACGGTGCCCAGGCCCATCTCCAGGTGCAACAGAACACCACCATATATACTTTTTAAAAAAATTTTTTTTTTATTGTACTTTACATGAAGGTTTACAGAACAAATAGTTTCTCATTAAACAGTACATATATTGTTTATGACAGTGGTTAACAACCCCATGACATGTCAACACTCTCCCTTCTCGACCTTGAGGACCTTTTTTTTTGTGAAAATATACATAGCCAAAGTTACACCATTTCCAAAGTTTCTACATGTACAATTCAGTGACATCGATCACATCTTCTAGCTGTGCTGCTATTCTCACTATCCTTTTCCAAATTATTCCATCACTATTATCTTCAACTCATTGTCCGCTAGGCTTCCCGTCAGACCTTTTGAGTTGTTGTTGTCAATTTGGTCTCACATAGATAATTCTTGTTTTTTCTTTTTTTGTACCTTAGATGAAGGTTAGCAGAACAAATAGTTTCTCATTGAACAGTTAGTACACGTATTGCCCTATGACAATGGTCAACAACCCCATGACATGTCAGCACTGTCCCTTCTCAACCTTGGGTTCCCTATCACCAGCTTTCCTGTCCCCTCCTGCCTTCTAGTCCT